ATCTTGCCTTATGAGAGAGACTGGACCTAAATTTGCCTAGAAAAACCACAAGAGCCCAAAAATCCTAGGGTTGGTTCTGCAACGTCCTGTAAAGGATATCCACTTACGTTTTTACGAGAGATGGTGGGGTGAGATAACATCGAGTTATTAGAAACAGGTTTGTAGACTTATTATCCTGCTGTGATATTTTATTTACATTTCATATTTTCTGCCTCATACTGAACCATACAAATTCAACTCCATTTTGTTTTCCAGTTGTCATGAAATAAAGACAGTACTGACAAAATGATGAATAATGAATTTTGCCAAAGCTGTCTTTTTGTACATGAGTAAACCCCCACCTCTGTGTAAACGACAGATGTTAGTCATTTTAAAATCACCATGTACGTTGAAACAGGTTGACCCAGCCTAAAATGGGTACCAGGATGGCTGTCCTGGGGAAGTAAAGACAGCCGGCGTAATGCTGACCACATTACCCACCTAGTGCCGATGGTCTGAAAGAATATGGGCGCTCTTCCCATATTCCTGATGTGCCTAAAGGTGTGACAAGGGATCTTTATGTACATTGAAATATAGACTATGTGTGTGGTGCTATCATCTGTAAGGGTCTGTTGTTTTGTTTCATTTTTTGATTTAATTCTGCAATATACACATGAACATGCAGCAATATATATTTACCGGGCAATAAATTGCCTAGTCTACAGCTGTCTTCTTTATTCAAATATGTGGAAATCTTAGAAAATTGTGCATTTAAAAAAAAAAAATAAGAACCTGTGTGCACAAACTTTTGTGACTGTTCCATTAAAATATGTTGAAATATCTGTGCAGGAAGATGTTTGTTTGTTTGTTTTAGACGCACCTGCCATGTTTCCTGGTATCTATTTGAGGTTGTAAAAAATCTGCCACAATGTGAATTGAAACTGATGACCACCAGGCAAGTGGTATGGTAGGTTATAGCTTATATTCTTCCCTTTTCATAAGGGCACCGACACCACAAGAATGGAAGCAAACTATCACCAGGTCACAAATTTTCATGTCACACATGAGTCAACTTGATAGGGATTAGAAAATGAACAGTAATTAATGAGGCATTATTTGTTGCTCTATATACAGTAAGTAAGCATAAAAGATGTACAGCTTTCATTCAGTGCCTTTCTATTTCACAGCCTTGTTACATCACTTGTATATATTTCTCACAAGATCTACCCATTTTACATAACTTGTATATATTTCTCACTAGATCCACCCATGTATAGTTAGTTACTCTTTATCATTACTGAAATCTGACTAGAGGAAGACAGACTGGCACAGGTGTGTACTGAAGCATCTCACACCACACACTTCCCTCAACAAAGGAAGAGGAGTACACATGTGATGTACTGAAGCATATCACACCACACACATCCCTCAGCAGAGGAAGAGGGGTACACATATGATGTACTGAAGCATCTCACACTACACACTTCCCTCAGCAGAAGAGAGGTACACATGTGATGTACTGAAGCATCTCACACCACACACTTCCCTCAGCAGAGAAATGAGGAGGAAGAAACATATGATGTATGAAGCATATCACACCACACACTTCCCTCAGCAGAAGAGGGGTACACATATGATGTACTGAAGCATCTCACACCACACACTTCCCTCAGCAGAAGAGAGGTACACATATGATGTACTGAATCATATCACACCACACACTTCCCTCAGCAGAAGAGAGGTACACATATGATGTACTGAAGCATATCACACCACACACTTCCCCCAGCAGAAGAGAGGTACACATATGATGCACTGAAGCATATCACACCACACACTTCTCTCAGCAGAAGAGAGGTACACATATGATGTACTGAAGCATATCACACCACACACTTCCCTCAGCAGAAGAGGGGTACACATATGATGTACTGAAGCATATCACACCACACACTTCCCTCAGCAGAAGAGAGGTACACATGTGATGTACTGAAGCATCTCACACCACACACTTCCCTCAGCAGAAGAGAGGTACACATGTGATGTACTGAAGCATATCACACCACACACTTCCCTCAGCAGAAGAGAGGTACACATATGATGTACTGAAGCATATCACACCACACACTTCCCTCAGCAGAAGAGAGGTACACATGTGATGTACTGAAGCATATCACACCACACACATCCCCCAGCAGAAGAGAGGTACACATATGATGTACTGAAGCATCTCACACCACACACTTCCCTCAGCAGAGGAAGAGAGGTACACATGTGATGTACTGAAACATATCACACCACACACTTCCCCCAGCAGAAGAAAGGTACACATGTGATGTACTGAAACATATCACACCACACACTTCCCTCAACAGAGAAATGATGAGGAAAAGTCTCCATGCATGTCCCAGGGGTCCATTGTGGTTTGGGGATGAGGAAAAGTCTCCATGCATGTCCCAGGGGCCCATTGTGGGTTTGGGGATGAGGAATAGTCTCCATGCATGTCCCAGGGGCCCATTGTGGGTTTGGGGATGAGGAAAAGTCTCCATGCATGTCCCAGGGGCCCATTGTGGGTTTGGGGATGAGGAATAGTCTCCATGCATGTCCCAGGGGCCCATTGTGGGTTTGGGGATGAGGAAAAGTCTCCATGCATGTCCTAGGGGCCCATTGTGGGTTTGGGGATGAGGAATAGTCTCCATGCATGTTCCAGGGGCCCATTGTGGTTTGGGGAGGGGGGATAGATCCACTGACCCCTCACAAGCTTTTTGTTAGAGTCAACTCGTTAGAGATTTTTCCTTTAAAGACAAAGTTCATCTGTCCAGGAGGCTAGGAACTAACAGTCTGCTTGTAAATAAGTCACATCTGTAAAATGGATGTGCACGCAAAACTGCTTCTGGAACAAGAATGGACTTCCGTTTTCAAAATGGCGGACAGCAGCTGTGTTTATTTTCGCTGGCTGTCAATTCTCTCGGATTATTCTGTTTCATAATCATGGACTGTTATTTTATGCGCATTTTCAACGCAGGATACTATGTGTTTTTCGTGGAAACAGCGTGTATTGTGGTTGTGCTGTGTCGGGGCGGGATAATGACCGATAGTCTTGGCAGCCTCGGCCACGCTGCCTTCGCTATGTTTTGATCGCGGCGGTCCACTCAGGAAGACAGAATCTCGTCAGCAGGGGACTGCAACTGTCTATAGAGCAAACTCGATAAAAGCTGTCCCCAGAAACGGAATGTGTCAACCATATATTTGGTGGAGAGGAATCGACACATACGGTTAACTCAATGGCCATGGCCAGGCCAACAAGACTAAAGTCCAGAAGTGGATGAACAACCAGAACTTTCTGCCAGAGTTTTCAGCTGGTGAATGCAAAGAAGAAGAAGCATCTAAACCATCCCCATCAGCAGAGCAGTGAACAAGAAGGTGACACAATGTCATACAGGTCACATATTTAATCATTAATGTCAAGAATTATCCTGCCAATTTTGTATGGGCTTCAAGCTCGTTTTTGTGATTTGTTCTCGGGAATGACTTGAGCGAGGAAGAACTGTCTCACCTCATAAAAAGGTACCTGGAATATGTTAATATCACCTACTTCAATGACTGTGTCATCTGTGTGTTTTGATGCCCACTTTTCTGTATTTCCACACGTGTGAATTTAAAATGTGAATTAAAATTGAAGACTTTGAGCGCAGACTTACTGGTTACTTTCTTGTTATCTCAGACAGATAAGCAAGGTTAGGTTATTATTTAAACATCATACCAAGTGCTTGGTTCAGAAACAACATTACAGGACTCTGGACGTTGCCATGGTACCGGTAGCAGTCTGCATGTCCCCCATCTCACCTTTCCTTTGAGTGTTGACCAGATCCCCAGGTCACTCCCCCACTACATCATTCTCTTTGGACCATGGTGATCTATTTGAACCTAAGCACCGTTTCCTCACCTCCAAATGACCTTGGTAAGATCTAGCTTGTCATGCATATATTTACTACCAAGGGCTACAGTTTGTCTGTTTACTTCTCAGTTCAGTTATGATGGAAATCTGCACAGGCCTGGCATGTTTGATGGACATGTGTGCAGGCCTGGCATGTTTGATGGACATGTGTGCAGGCCTGGCATGTTTGATGGACATGTGTGCAGGCCTGGCATGTTTGATGGACATGTGTGCAGGCCTGGCATGTTTGATGGACATGTGTGCAGGCCTGGCATGTTTGATGGACATGTGTGCAGGCCTGGCATGTTTGATGGACATGTGCGCAGGCCTGGCATATTTGATGGACATGTGCGCAGGCCTGGCATGTTTGATGGACATGTGCGCAGGCCTGGCATGTTTGATGGACATGTGTGCAGGCCTGGCATCTTTGTGTGCGTGTGTGTGAGCTTGGAGTTTCTCTGCAGGATCTGAATGCCTTTCTAGCTCCCTCATTCCTCTGCAATAAAAAGCAGATAAGCAGAAACTACGACTTTACTAATGTACAAAACCATGTCTCTGGTTTAAGAGACCGACAATTTAGCCAGTAACCCACACACACCACATACAGTAACACACACACCACAAATGAAACACCAATTTTAAAACTTGGAACACAGCGTTGATGAGAATGACGATTTATTTACAAAGATAATGAATATCATACCCTCTCTCTCTCTGGATCCCAGGGCAACAGAAAATAGAGGAGACCTAAAGGTACACATTGAAGATAAGAAACATGAGAATTATGGACGAGCTGCAGGAGGTTTACAGTTGGACTTGGTTCTTCTTCTGCCTTTTGACATCACAACACTTGGGACTCTCCCATAAGCGCTCCGTCCCCATTTTCAGCAGCAAGCTGTCTGTTTGTACATCCATCTCATCATGAACATATGAATGGTCTAAGTCCCAGTTTTCTAATTTGTTTTAGTTTTTCATTTAATTTATTTCAGAGTAACAATTACAAAAGAAATAAAACACCATACAAAACAGGTCTTCCATGTACTCTTTCTCCCACATGACAATAAGCGTATGGTGGGTGTGGTGGTCATACAACCAATCGGTAGCTGACGTATCGCCCGGCTGTCTCACTAGGTCGGATAATTTTCACTACCTGAGAACAAACAAAAGATAAGGTACTAGTCACAATATTGATTTTGGAACAGTTCTACTCATACCTGTACAATGAACGTTATAATCATCTGACTCCAGTGATAAACAAATGAACAGAAATACAGCATGTATGTCACCTTGCTTTCTAAACCTTGTCATCTCCAACAACTGAAACAGTTTGATGGGCACAGCAGCATCGAATTCCCTGACTTATGCCTTCCTTTTACCAGCAGGAGGAGGTCTTGGTGGCAAAGTGGTCGAGCTGTTGTCTCACAATCTGATGGTGATGGGTTCGTTTCACAGATGTGTCATTCAGTTTACGAGTGCAATTTTTAGAGAAATCCCAGGGGTTGTCGCCGGAACTTTAGAGTTCGTGCTTTATGCTCCCTAGGTGGGTTCAAGGGCTCTATTTTGGAGAACAAAAAAATAAGACCCACTGGCCCCCCGCCCCTCCTCCCCAAACAAGCTTGTCATGGGATAATTAAAATGTTTCTTTAAAAGTTGAAGGGCGTCTGCTTGAGAGGCAAGGAACTATGTCTGCACACAAATAAAGCCAGATCTGTAAAATGGATGTGCACAAAAACTCAAATTGCTGGACCAAAGTCCAGGAGTGGACAAACAACCAGAACATTCTGCCAGAGCCCACAGCTTCCTGTCAATCTCCTGTCAGGTGGCTAGCTATTCTGCGGAAATATAACCCCATACGGGACAACTTCAGGACAACAGAGTCGATCCTCCCAACTTCAATTTTACCCATATTTTATTATTTGACTACATGATGATGGTGATGCTAATTAAATCAGAATGTTCCACACAAAACATAGATGATATATCTATGAATTTCTGTCTGAAGTAATTGTCAGCAGTTACACTGTGCCAGATAACCCTAAATTTATCGAATTGCCAAGTATCCCATCATGCTCAGCCCTTGAACTAAATATAAGACACACTAATTAAGTTGTATGCCAGTAAAGACTTTCAAAATTGATCATTTGTACCGACCTGTCCTCGTTTTAGTCCAAAGTATCTGGCTACAGGATCACCCTGCTGAATTCTTGGAAGTTGTGATTCTTTCAGTTTACTTTTACTAGTTAAAGAATTAAACCAGATTTGATGCTGGTATCATTCACAAGAGTTACATGCAAACCAATTCACAAATAAAATATTCACACAAGCAAACACAATATGTACCAGAAACATCCATATAAGCTACCAACAGACCAGTCCATTTTCACACAAATGTGTGCTCCAGAATCATCATCATCACAGGGCTCGCAGTCTAGTCCTCAATTCTGCTGCATTCCATGCAAAACTTTCAATATCATGGTCGGAATCCAGTCTAGCACCTTTGGCCTCTTTCAACAATGTTCATCTTAGGGTTTCTCTTTGACATCCTTGTCCAGAATCATTCACATATTTCACATGTAAACACATCCTGTGGGTTCCGGGTCCCCATTATGAGGAAAACAACAATAGACCCACTGCCTGCCCAAAAGGAAGGAACCAACAGTTTGCAGGCAAATGAGTCAGACCTGTAAAACGGATCTGCACACAACACTCAGTTTTTGGAACAGGACTAGAGTCCTGGGTAAAAAACATACATCCACTAACAAATTTAACATAAAAAAGATTTTAATATAACTCAAGTATGAACGTTCTGTCCACACAAAACATGATGCTGGTACTACAAGACAAATCAAGGATACTATCTGTTGAGCAGTTCAACTTTTTCTTCTGGCGTCATCACTTTGTGTTCAGGAACCAGCTAAAGTTACAGGAGGGAAACAAATGTTTTCACAATCATTCAAATTAAAATGTACTTCAATAATATGTCAACTACAAACAGCCTCAGTTCAAGGAAAACAATTTCATGGCCAAAGTTAAGGAACCTCTGGCACATCTGAAGGCGTATTGGGCATATAGGGCTAGACCTAAATTTTATAGACCAGTGGGCTCTTGGTGTGTGATCTGGTCAACTACTTTCCCAGGGCCTGTACCTGGCACCCACTCCAAGCTGGCTTGGTCTGGCAGACAAGGTCATTTTTGAACCCCCAAAATTTTTTGTTTTTATCAGGAACCGAACCCACGATCTGTAGGCAAGCTATACCATCGCAACTTATACATACTAGGGTTACAATGGAAACTAATGAGACTTTCAGAGTTTTCAAACACAGTATGAGCCCATAAAGTTCTGTAGTATGCAGAGTTACAGTTCTTGGACCTTATCACTGTAGAGACAAGTCTTCCCTATTTGTATTTAGTCATTACTTCCCTTCATATAAAATAAAAAGCTTTTTAAAACTCAGATTTGAGCAAAATAATGGCTTTGAATATACAAAATCTAATTGTTTAATGAATTAAGTGTGTTGAGATGATGCAATAGTTAACAGGACTGCATGTCTGCTCCGTGGTCATAGGTTTCAAACCCCTAGATTTAAAAAAAAAAATTTTCTTAATTCTAAATTTCATTAGCTACTTCTGGTCTCTTAGGGTAGAATTTCCTAGAATTATAACATTTTTTTTTTTAGATATGCTAGGTGTTTCGTCCTTTTTAGGACAAAATTTTTGTGTTATTTGAAGCCCCACCCTGGCTTTTGCCAGGGGCCGCAATATAGGCAGGCCATCAATGTGGCCAATTGTCTGAACGCGGTTTCTGGGACCTCTCCACGGCGAGACTCATCCGCATGGTGGCACTTTGTGTCATCGGGTGTTTATCGCTTGTATGATGTCCTGGTGGGGTAGAAAATCAGTCTGTCAGAATTATAACAATACACTTCTTGCAAACAAATTCTGGAAAATGTTTTTTTTTTAAATCATTCTTATGTGGCAAAAAAGATTACTGATTAATGCAGAATCATTATTATTACGGCACATACAGACCGGCTAACACGAGGTTTAGAGTGGCGGTTGATTACTAGACAAGTGTAAAGCATCTCATTGCAAAGAAACAACTTTGCTCCCAGTCCCTAGCTCAGAGCTTTCAAAACTGTGTGTTGCGACACAGTAGTGTAACTGCTACGGTATGAAGGTGTGCCTCTCAGACATATTTCATGTATGTGTCCTTATCTGTCATAAGGGTTTATTTAACCTTGTTTACTGGTTGACTGAATTACCGTGCCGCAAAAATATGTTTGTCTAACAAGTGGGTCACCAACCTGAACAATTTGGAAAGCTCTGCTCTACTTTACTGACTCTCAATGGGTGATGTGTCTGGTATTCTGTTCCCCTTTACTTCCCAGAAAATGTGACTGCCAAACATGGAATCAAATGAAAGACACTACCAATGGGCAGGACTAAATAATGATGTATATAGGGGTGACAGCAGTCAAGCGGATGACAACAAGCCCTAACACAACATAAAATGCGACTACCAAGCTTAATGGAGAAAATAGAAAAGACAAACACAACCAAGCATTTCAACCAAAATCCTTATCAACAGAGTACTAAAGACAACAAATCTGTTGAGTTTTCCAGTCACAGTTTGTGGTGTATTTAGTATTGCACTGATAAAGACTGGTCAAAATGTCTGGTTGTATTTGTGTGCGTCTTTTTCCATTCTCTGCATTGAGCTGTCTAATCATATTTTATGTTATAGTTAGGGCTGAAGAATGGTAACTAGCAACTTTGCTAGTGCAATACCAGACACACACAAAGTTCACAGGTTATGTTCTCACAATCAAGCTTGCTGCACACTGGGTATTCCCATGCATGCTCAGTCCTCTCATGCAGCAGCCACCCAAGGTAACTCCACTGATTGTTCCCGTAAACCATGTGTGGGTTCCCGGGCATCATTGTGGGGAAAACAAGAACAGATCCTCCCCAAAAAGCATGTTGTAAGAGTTGATTAATTGGGGGCTTCCTTTGAAGTCAGAGTGCATCTACCTGAGAGGCAAGGAACCAACAGTCTGCAAATAAGTCGGGTCTGTAAAATGGATGTGCATGCAACAGTCAGGTTCTGGAACAAGACTAAAGTCCAGAAGTGGACAAACAACCAGAACTTTCGCCTGGAGTTGACAGTCGGTGAACACAAAGAAGAAGTTCCTGTGAGAAGCTGGCTACAATGTCTTGACCTCAAAGATGGGGCCAACATGCTTTTACCTGACCTGGTTTATGTCGGGCATGGAAAACAAAACATTTTCACATCAGAGGTTATCACACATACACAAGCAGACAGCCCTTACCATGTGTTCTGTGATGTTAATAAGAAGCTCGGATTCAATGAACTGCTCCAAAATATATTTGGGTGCCATTTCTACCAGAGCCTGTCAGAGGAGATACAAGCAACCACAAATAATTCACATACTAGCTGAAGATCACAGAATCAGTTCATACAAATGGGCAGCAGCTGAGTAAAGTCAGTCAGTAAAGGACCCATGTCATGCCTGTTTAATAGGCTTGTGATGCTAGAAGCATATTTTAATAGGCCAATCAGCACTCTGTGGGTGATGTGTGCTGGCCACCTTTACTTCCCAAGACTTTACCCGGTACCCATTCAGGCTGGGTCAATTTGAGAGAAAAGGTCTGACTCGATGTAGATTCAAACTTAAGAACTTCCAATCAATAGGTAAGCATCTAGCCACCTCAGAGCTGAGTAACACCTGCAAGCGTAAGTAATGGTAATGAAACAGGCATCAACGTATTCTGCTGAAAGACAAACTGAACTAGGACAGTACCCTCACGTGTGTGGTCCTTCTTTGAGCAGATAGAGTGGAAGAGGTGCTGGTATAGTAACTTGTCTCATCCTCATTATATAGCAAGTCCTTTGAAGGTCTGAACGAAAGAAACTCCTCACCAGCCCTCTCGCCTCGTTCACTTTCCCAGCTAAGGTGTCATCTATATCCAGCGCCCATCTTCATGCTGGTTGGCCTCTGCCCTTCTTTCCTGCTACCAGGCCTTCTGCTATTATATGTTCTAATCTGCCTTGCTGCTTGATATGGCCAAAATATTTCAGTTTTCATGACAAGATGCTGCTTATTAGCCAACTTTCCTTGATGTTCCGATCTCTAGGATGTACTTATGGCTTCTGGATACTAAAACAAACAACAACAATCTGTTGGATGTTGGTATTTATTTTCTTCTTGTTAAATGGTTCTCTGAGAATCCTTCTATAATATTTCAGCTCAAAAGTCCCTGTATTGTCTGTATTAAGATAGTCCACGACTCACAACTGTATGCTGTTACAGGGAAGATATACTCTCTTACTGTTCTGACTTTGATTTCTGTGCTGATGATTAACCACAGACTTTTACTGCTGCTTGTAATTTGTGTAAGAGATAAAAACTGATGCAGCTATGTGGTTATGTATGAGTCTCTGTATTGCAGTGGCTAGCATGCCTGCCTTTCAGCCTGATAACTGTCAGTTCCAACCCTCACTGAAGCACCGATTTTGTTTAAAAACTGACGTGTGTTCCAGGGTGACACAAACAAAGACGTGTGAAATAAAGTTGGATGTGATGTCCCTGCGTGGGTTCCGGGGCCCCATTGTTAGAAGAAAAAAAAACTAAAAGATCTACTACCCCTAACAAATATGTCATACAAGGCAACTAATTAGGGATGTGTCCTTCGAAGTCAGAGTGCATCTGCCTGAGAGGCAAGTAACCAGCAAACAAACAAGCCAGATCTGTAAAACTGACATGCATGCAAAACAAGATCAGAGTCCAGAAGTGAACAAACAACCAGAACATTCCACTAGTTTACAGTTGGTCAACGATAAGAAAAAGTTGGATGTGTGACATTAACCACCTAATTCAGTGTTGATCTATACGCCTCAAGGGCCTTTTATTTCTCTCTCCTTCTGCAACAGATGTGTCTGATCTTAGTCATCTGAAAACCTGTCCTACAGTGATAAGACAAAGAAGACGGCACATCCTGCGAATAAACCAGCAGAGAACAGCCAAAAAAAAGCACTGAAATGGGAAATGAAGGGACTGGGAAATTGATGACATCAAGACAAAAAAAAAAAAAAAACCTAAGACAAACATGGATTAGAGAGGCCAAAGGTTTATGGATTCCACCCATGACATCAAAGACACAGCACTGGATATAACTGAATGAAGGATTAGACTGCGAGCCCTATGTAACGTATAATGGCCCAACAGGACAAAGATGATGATGAAACCCGTTCCAGAACCAACAAACAATAACACAGCCCTTGTCAGCAGCAATCAACAACCAATACTGCAGATCATCACCATGTAATGATGATGCAGTCACCATGTAATGATGATACAGTCACCATGTAATGATGATGCAGTCACCATGTAATGATGATGCAGTCACCATGTAATGATGATGCAGTCACCATGTAATGATGATACAGTCACCATGTAATGATGATACAGTCACCATGTAATGATGATAGTCATTATGTAATGATGATACAGTCACCATGTAATGATGATACAGTCACCATGTAATGATGATACAGTCACCATGTAATGATGATACAGTCACCATGTAATGATGATGCAGTCACCATGTAATGATGATACAAAGATGATAATATGTTATATTTTCAATTGTTTCCCAGGCCATGGTAAATGATGTCACCATGTATGATGCTATCCCCATTATGATGATGCAGTCACCATGTAATAATGTAGATGATAAGTCACCATGTAATGATGTTTACCAGCATGGCTGCGATGATGATTTCACCAGGTAATGATGATACAGTCCCATGTAATGATGATACAGTCACCATCCGCAGGCATACTTTATACAGGTTAGCCTTTCCAACTTTCCCTTAATGACAGCCCATTATGAGGTTAAAAGTTCACTGTTATACTGACTTGTTTCGCAGATGGTGTCATGCCGGTCTGAACCACAATGATAGCCCTCATGATGTTCTCTTCCTGCATGCGCTGGCAGTAGGTCTTGATTGTCTTGATGCCGACTTTAGCCTCGTCGGGGAAGAACACAAACATCTGATCTATGGGCAGAAAAATTAAACTAGCTCAAGATCACTTTTATGTGGTGTTCCTAGACATTTTAATTTCTGTGGACAGAAAACTGTCAGGTACCACATCATACTGTTTCTTCCTTTTCTGTCCTTTATCAGCTGAGCAGAGACATAACCCAAGACAGCTGTCTGAGCAGAGATCTAACCCAAGCTGTCTGAGCAGAGACATAACCCAAGACAGCTGTCTGAGCAGAGATCTAACCCAAGACAGCTGTCTGAGCAGTGACCTAACCCAAAGCTGTCTGAGCAGTGACCTAACCCAAGACAGCTGTAAGTTAGGAATCAACATCACAGCACTTCGGACATTCATTTAAACTAGGGCTGTACCGAATAGTGATTTTCACTATTCGGCCGAATACTAATAGCTGGACCAACTATTCGGCCGAATACAAATAGTGAATTATCATCATCAGGTGCTTTGCTGACTAGCATGGGCGATTATGCCTCTCCATAATCTGCGATCTCCTGCAGCATGTATCAGTTCGTGTGCTGACACACCTCCATGCAACAAGACTGTCAAGAATCTTCTCTCGTTGTCTTCCTTTGTCCCTCCTTTCACAGATCTTTCCAGTGGTCACAACATGTTCCATTTTCCCTCATCTTATAACATGTCTGAGAGTAGTTGTCTTTTGACTCCCACCTCTATTAAAACCTCTTGGCTGCTTTTTGTTTGGCTGTCCAAGGTATTTTAAGCACTGTTCTGTAAAACCACATCTGTGAGGCCTCAAGAAATTGTTTGGCCTGCCTACCGATTGACCAGGACTTACAGCCATATGTTAAAACTGGATGTATGAAGCAAGCAAGAATTCTTTTTCTAACCTTCAATGACAAGGATATATTGCATAAGATGTTCTTCATTTTATAAAATGCAGTTTTTGCCTGTCCTATTCTGTTTCTTATTTCAGTAATGCATCTTCCATCAGATGTTATCCATGTGCCCAGATACTTAAATTTATGTACTTGTCCCAAAATAAAACCATTGACTTTTATTACACATTTAGGAATAATTATTTTCTTTGATACCACCATTACTTCTGTCTTCCCACTATTCAAAATGAGGCCCATTCTTCCACTTTCGTGTATAAAATAGATCTAAAAAAACATCCATAATGTCAAATCAACACTGAAATTTTACTCCACAAAATGTAGTACAGAATAGTAAACATTTAAAAACATTTCATGTCAGTCAGTCTGTGGTAACTAATACCTAGGAATGAAAGTATTCTTAGTTTTATAACAAGTAACTAAACTTGTAAATTGTCACTGACAGCTTAGTTAATCCATGAAAAAGCTATTGTCAGCTTCTTGAAGGCATTTCCAGCTGTAGTAAACAGACGTTCACTTGGGACACTTGTAGGTGGTGCACAAAGATAACACTTGACAGTATGAACCAAGGTGGGAAATCTTGATATGTTTATTTTCCACCAGTCCAGAAACGGGTGTAAGGTAATCACTATTCATATTCGGCCCTACCGAAACTATTCGGCCGAATACTGAACAGTTATTAGGTCCACTATTCGGCCCCGAAGCGAATACAAAGCGAATATTCGGTACAGCCCTAATTTAAACACTCTGTCCCATCTTCATTAGCAGCACACGGCTCCAATTCTGACGGGACTAGTAACAGACTGAATGTATGTCTATTTCATTTCTCCATAGTGTTGAGCACAGGCCCAATTAACTAGTCAAAAAAATGACAAAAGATCTAAATTTAGAAATCAAAAAATGAAGATGGAGGGGGATTGGACATGTCCTTAGAATGAAGAAAGAGAGACAACTGAGACAGGCAATGCAATGGACACTACAAAGACAGCGAGGAAGAGGTAGGTCCACAGGCACTTGGAGGTGAACCTCTGAGGCTGAACTCAGGATCGAATTGAGTGGCAACAGTTTGTCTCTGCCTTATGTGCCTCTGGGCACAATGAGGACTGATTGTTTGATTTGTCTGCTGGTGTTATGCATTATTGTTGGCACCTTTCCAGATGATACTGTTATAATGTGCTATGTGGAGGCATGGGAGTCATGTTCCTCCTCTATATAGCACAAAGCCTGGCCAGTATTTTAGAGATCATGTGTTGCCCATGATCCCTTCCTTGCCTTGTTTACTCCAAGGAAAGGTAACACTCCAAGGAAAATTATACATACATTCATTTGGAACAAAGCACAAGCTGCTCTATCAGAAGAGCAGTGCTCTATCTGTCCGCTTGTCGGAGCTTCCCTTCTAGACCTGCTACCAGCCAAGGCTAAGGGCCTGGTCTGTCCTGCAAGTTTTCATGGAGTTCAGGTAACTAACAACCATTATATGTTAAACTCCTCTTACAAGTAAAACAGCAAGTGCTCATAATCAACTACAAACAACAAAGTTTTCATTTTTTCAGCCCGCTAACATTGAAGACAAAGCAGACGACAGATTTCTAACTGTACCTGTTGGATCATCATTGTGGGCAACAAGTACAATGAGGTCACTGCGACCTGGCTTTCTTTCACTAGGAAATAATAACAAAACAAATACAAATTTTAAAAATCTTTAACCTCCTAAAAAGTAAGCAAATAAAATGTTAAAATAATCAAGACCCTTTACAATAATTAATTTCTTCTTCTTCTTCATTCACTGGCTGTAAGCTCCGGCGGAAAGTCCCAGTTGTTTGTCAGTTTCGACTTTGTGCCAGGACCTGAGTTTTGCATGCATATTCCTTTTACTGACTTATTTGTGTACAGTTAGTTGTTCCTTACAGCTTGGGCAGATGCACTTCAACTTCGAACGAAGGTCCCAACCAGTCTACTTCTACCACACGCTGGGTTGGGAGGCAGTGGGTGTATTCTTGTCCCAACAACGGGGCCCTGGAACCCACATAAGGAATCAATTTCCTTAATCAGAATTTAAAATAATCATTTATCCTTTCATCTGAATTTCTAGGCCTTTCTTAGCTTGTCATCTAAAAAGTGAGCACAGGCCCTCAACAAACTCACTTCAAGTCTTTGTAGAATTATTCACATAAAGTAAAGTAGAGGTCATTTGAGGCCAGATTCACATTTACATAGACCAAACGTGCCTTGATTGGTGATGTGGACAACATCACACCAGCCACCTTTACTTCCCAGGACTACACCTGGTACCCGTTTAAGGCTAGATCAACCTGGGAGCCAGGATCATATTTTTTAAAGAAGTATGGCTCCGTCAGGACGTGAACCCATGGCTTTCAGATCTGCATCTTCCTTACAGGAACAATCTACTTTTACTAACCTTTGCCTTTTCTAGACAGTGATTAGTTGCCCTGATTGTACAATGTGAGAAACTCCAGGTACAAAGCATCATTATCAAGTTGCTGTCCTTCCCAGAAAGTTTCTCTCATTACCACCTGCCTGAAAGAAGCTCAGCCTCTCACCAGATCTCCCACTTCATACACTTTTCTATCCAACGTGTCAATGCTGTCATGTGCCCATCTTCAAGCTGGTTGGTCCCTGCCTCTCTTTCCATGCTTTTGCTGCTATTCTTTCAAATCTACCATGGTGCAAGAGAAAACTACATTATGATCTCAAGAAACTTATCATAGGGTAAAAAGACAATTTTTTTAAAATTTACTGTAGTTTTTTTTTCTTCTAGGAAACAAGTACTGAAACTAGAGGCTTGAAATCTTTAAAGACGAAGAATGAGGAGGAGCAGAATCACAAGGTAGTTTACAGAGGGAAAGTCGCATCATTGATCATTTTTCTTCCTCCTGACGTAACTGCGTTGTGCCTCTTTACAGCAACATTGTGATAGTTGTGCCCTTCGGCTAACACATTCGACTTCATAGAGCATTTGTTGACCGGGTTACCTCCCCAGCCATAATTCAGGTTTCTTGATTCTGTATAAAGTTAACAATAAAATGCAGGAACAGCATACCAAGTGTTAAATCAACAAAAATGTTACAATTCTTAGGTAAGTAACTAACAGTCGCAATAACCGTTACCTTGGCTTATCACCAAACTGTGCCTTGAATCCATCAAGAGTTTGATCCAACTCCTCCTGAGTTACCAGATAACCACGGTCATGGCACAGCTGAAATTAATTCGAAAAATGTTGTTACAATAGTAATACTATTCCTCGTGTGGGTTCTGGGGCCCCATTGTGGGGAAAACAAGAATAGACCCACTGCCTCCCATACAAGCATGTCGCAGGAGTTGACTGGCAGATTTCGTTCAAAATTGTAGTGCATCTGCCTGAGTGGCCAGGAACAACCAACTGTACACAAAAAAGCCAGTAAAACTGATGTACATGCAAAACTTAGGGCCTGGCACAAAGCCAGAGTCAAATCAACCAGGGCTTTCTTCCAGAACTTATGGCCGGTCAATAAAGAAGAAGAATATTACAGCTGAGTCCAAGAATTTTGGTGAAGTTGATGTGATCAGCCTAGTCCCAGCAATTTCTTTTCTCTACCTTTGTATAAAAAGTCCTGATAAGTCGAATTCTGTTGACTCAAATATTTGGATTAGTTGAATTTAAAAATAAATACCACCTATATATGTGCTGATGCTTAAATTAAACTGTTCATTATTCCGTGCCACTCTTTTTGATATACATTGGGCGTGAAAAGCGAGCTATATAAATCACATGAGAAATACAACTACTGAAGCCCGCGGATACACAGACAGCCGTGAGAGGGTGGGAGCATTTATTTTACATGCAGTTGCTTCTAGGTTCACTCACATTGGGAGGAGGTGGGAAAAGGCAAAGTGATTTCACTTAGATTTGGTGTGGCTCTACTCGGTTCATGAATGAGTACAGTGCATTTGGCGATCAGTGTTTTGAACTTTTAGATAAAGTAATATCTTGCGCATGCCCCTTTTCTGCTCTTTCTACTTCACTTTTCTATCATCTTCTTTCTCTCCCTCCCTTTATCCTCACTCTGTTCTCTCCTCCCTTCTGCCACTCTCTTCTTCCTGTTTTCTCTTTCTCCCTCTGGTCTATCTTCATCTCCTCCTCTGTCTTCCTTACTCTCCCCCCCCCCCCATACTTATTCTTACCCTTTTTTTCCTCTATATCTGATTATCTTCCCCACCCCTTTTTGGTTTACTAAATTTATGGCAATAACTGGGCTCTCCTTTAAACTACGGCCGGTTAGACGGCTGGTTAGTCGGAGTTCAGTTCTTTGGCTGCAGTGCAATTACGGAGTGGAAAAGAGGGAACGAAACAAATGACATAATTATCGCTCATTAAGACATACAGATCTGCAGGTGTCACATCTACGGCCACTAAACGTCTTGCGTCGCAAGAACGCGGTCGCTAATGTGAGTCGCAGCGCGTGGTCTAGCTCTAGCAGCTATGTCGACGGCACTTTGTTTTGTGATTCGTGCCTTCTCCACTCCGTAATTGCACTGTAGCCAGGGGACTGAACTCCGACTAACCGACCGTAGTTTAAAGGAGAACCCCATAACTGTGTTCCCTGTGGGTGGCTGTGTCGTGTCTTGTGCTGTCTAATAAGTAAAAAAACTTTGTTAGTCCGTTGTACTTTGTAAAACTACCGAAATCCATCTCATTATTTTAATTTAATTATTAAAATGTAATAAAATTTTCATCAAAATGAAGTGAATGATGATTCAATGAACATTTTTTGAAGTGAAGTAACAGGAACTAACAGTCAGTAACTGACTCAGTAACAATGTAATGGTTAGCGACTGCGGTGTTCTGCAATTTGCGGCCTTTTGGCAATTTCTGTTACCATGGAAACCGTTCGAAACTTGTTTGGGAAATGTCGGCTGGGGTTTTGGGATGGGTCCTAATCTCTCATGAAATTTTGCGATTGGTGTGATTTTCACCAGCTATAAATGGCTGAAAACGGGGGGAACGAACCCGCTTAACAGCGCATGTCTACGACAGCCGGACGTCCTCTGTTTTTCTGTTACATCAGTTTGATTGAAAATAGCGATAAGTATTCAAAGTTGGCTTTAGGCCTAAAACAAAACATTACCAGACATGGTAATACTAGTTATAATTGAATTCTCCGTCCAATTTTACATTTGTGTATCAAATTTCTTTCTTGTCAGTGGCTGTTTAGATTTACAGTGACATTTTTCAGACAATCGCTATTATGTGGCTGTGTCTGAGAAAAATTGTCTGCCATCTTGTCCAATAAAAACAAAGCAGAAACGAAAGTTGCGCAGTTTGGTTGCGCAGAGAAAACTTCTTGTTTCTCAGACAAGTTTTAGCTTACATCTCATCTCCACAAAAACCTACATATCTCAGCTCAGAAATGACATACAAGCCTAAATGAGGTACCGTTGGAAAGAGATTGTTTACAGCTATCTAACTGTGCTGGTTTTATTGGTGTTGATGGCATTTTAAAAATGTGATTAAAGTATTATATAGTAATGTAATGGTTTTAATTTTAAGATAAAGTGAAAATAATGGAAACTAATGAAAGGGCGACTAACTTGCATGACTGTCTTTCTAATTCTCCATAACTTGTAGGTTTCATGGTGATCATCCATCTGACGTTATCTCTGAAATAATCACTTACAGTGACAATGGAAACTTTAATCTACACACTCTCTGCGCAGCACAAATACCACCACATGAATTCTCCAGATATGCGTGTTTTCTAAACTTGTCTGTTAGAGTCGTCTCCCTCATCGTACGCCCAATAAGCAAAGCTAGTATTGTATCAAATTTATTTTTTAATATCTATTTTTATGTAAATCAATTTTTTTTTGTTTCATTGAAAAACTTTTACCCTAATTAGTAAATATATAAACATTTGAAGCAACATAAAATAGTTTTGTTCGAAATTAAAACACAGAGCGCGAATTCTGGGTGCTACTGAACCGTACAATATATGACTCAGTAATTTTATATTTGGGTACAAAGTTCAAGTTTTGATTTGATGTTAGTTCTTCGATGTCTTGTTCAATTAGTTGTTATCTAACTGTAACGTCCAATGCCTGAGAGGGATCTGTTTCAGATCTAGAGCTGAACTAGCTCGATGAAACAAAGTAGCAGAGTCATGTGGGTAGTTATCATCGTTTAAGTCGAGAGGACAGACTTCATTGCCTCGACTAGCCACCTGTCAATAGCATCCCACAAAGCACGAACTCCTGTAGCACCTGTGTGATACTTCTAGTTGCGAAAAACAAACTTTTTCAGAGCTGTCAAGTTTGACAGGAATGGATCTTCACTCCAATGTTCTTCTATCAGGGGCCACATTAGCGCAGTCGATAGGAGACTCGCTTTCAAATTCAGCTGCGACTCTCTGCAGCCCACAGTTGGTGTTCGAAATCGGGCAGTTCCAGGAGTTCACCCAGCCTCTAGGAAATAGGTACCAGAGTTAACACTGGGGTAAATGGAGGAACGTCGCTAAAGCTACGGAGTTTAGTGCGGACAGCGACACAGGCCGACAGTTTTTTATTAGCTGTCCGAACAGGTGGCAGAGCACTTATGGTTTATAACCGTGTGCAATGACGCTGGTTCACATCTCCTGACTTTACCCTTTTTTTTCTATCAGTCTATTATACTTGATATACAACATCATGACCTTATGTTCACATGTTTCTTTACAGGGCTTTTTACAAGATACACGAGTCTCAAAGTTCGGCAGCTGTGGTGCAATCTATTGTTTGTGTCTTCTTTGTTAAAATAATCAACTTTTGGCTTTTCTCATTTTGCCATTTTCCGGGCCATTTGTCTAAATATCTATTCGCTTTGGCTTAGAAAGTCTACGCCTGGGCATATATTTTCATTCACTAATTTCTTTGCAGGCTCTCCAGTCAATCGGTCAGACAGTCAAGTACCTTCTTCTTCTGACCTGTATCCCCCAAAGTCTTTGCTTTTATATCCAGTACACCCATGTCATAACTATCTTTTTAGTTTTTGTTTTACTTAACTCACAATCTCCATGTGAAGTTTTTCTCCCTTTATTTATTTATTCCTATATTTGAAAAGCCTTTTCTCTACCCCCTCCACCTCCCCCAATGTTAACCGTGGCGGTGGGCTTGTCTAGAGACCCAATGAGTTAATCATAACTTAGAGATAGGGAGAGGGGGCGGCAAGGAGTAGCACGGTGTGTTTGGAGAGAAAAACGTTAAAAGTTCTATTATTGTTACAAAACGAACGTGGCTCTCAGACAGCGCCAGACTCAACTGGGTACCAAGAAATGTCATAGGAATTCAAGGCGGCCGGGGTGATGTTGACTACAACACCAACCAAATGCCGATGGGGCTATACGGTTCTCAGTCTAGCATAATATACTCGATTGGGCTATACAGTTCTCAGTCTAGCATAATATACTCGATTGGGCTATACAGTTCTCAGTCTAGCATAATATACTCGATTGGGCTATACAGTTCTCAGTCTAGCATAATATACTCGATTGGGCTATACAGTTCTCAGTCTAGCATAGTATACCCGAAAACAAAATTCGTGCTTTATTGTTAAAGTGGATCACATGAGGATTACATCATTAAAAAAAATTTTTTCATATAAAAACCGCATCCGGGCCTGTAGCCTCTGACTTGGCAGAAGTGAACAGCCACAAAAGGGAACTTCAATCCGAGGAGAGCTCCAGTTTACCAACTTCTGCAGGGCTTGACGAATCTCTCTTCTTATTCTTATATAATCTGTTTCATATTTTACTGCCAAGACAGCCACTCACACGTTCACGATGGTATGTTCATCCTAACTTAACCTGATTACGGTTTAGAAACTGTTTACGATATATTTAATTGTTATTTATATTACTTGCTTCTTGTAAATATGATACGTAATTAGTATGTAATGTATCAATAGTATTAGTTATTAGTACTTAGTATCAATTATCATAGCTACTATGAATTGAACTTGTAGTGTCTAGTAGAAATGTAGGCCTAGTTCTACCGTCTACGAGTTACTACTAGTACTTCTCCTTCGGATTCATTTCTTTGTGAATCAAACAAAAATATTAAAAATTATCCGATTATTAAACAATGGTTCTTGCCAGCATAAAATTTAAATTCTAAATATAATTGGGGAAACGGAAAAGTAAATTAGTAATTTTGTGAAACTGAAACAGTCTGAAAAAAGGGAGCACTGACCTCAGTTGCGGCTTTGAAAAATGTAAAAATGGAACACTTTACACCCTGCATTCTTTCTTGGGAATTAGGTCTTATGACAATGCAATATGTGTTGAAGGAATGCCTAGGTCAGTCCAAGTCAGCATGCTGTGTTGAGTCATAACTGGCTGTGTGTGCTGAGAAGTTCCAGTTTCATACTCTAATGATTCCTTGTTTGCATGGAGAGGGGAAGTAGAACTCTGTAGCATATTCCTCATGGAATAGACGTGTTTATACTGGCTCGACCGAAACATCTCTCGCCATGAACCTCACTCTAGTAAAGATGCAGAAGGGGGGGGGGGGGGGGTGCAGATGAGTTTGTCAAAGCTTTAGATTAAACTCTTTCTCAGTACCAAACAAAAAAATATATGTGTTATGTTATGTGAGAGCCCGATCTTCCTTACTCCAGTGAATCCACGTTTCTGACCTGTTTCATTGAGTCTGAGCATGTTAACGGGAAAAAATCAGAGTAGTTCTGCAATAATAATTCTGTTTAAAATAACACACTTTTGATTTTTGTAGCAGTACAGTTATTTCATCTCTGTGATACCTTCTGGTATTGAAACAGTTGGCCAGCCACTCAGACAACCTTTCTACACTATCTTTCATTAGGAGGAGTATTTTAATTAATGATATCCTGTTCAAACCATTTGAGTCTTTTTTCTCTTTTATATATGTATTGGATCATTATGCTTGTTAGTGGGTTTTTTTTTAAAATTATGTGTGTGTGTGGTTGTTCAACATTGCATTGATTACTTGTTAACTAAGTATAGATTATTGAGTTTGATATTCTTCTTCTTCTGCGTTCATCTGAAGATGTAATTGCGTTGTGTCCGTTTACAGCATGGCTGCGATATTTGCACCTTTCGGCCAACACATCCGGCTTCTGCTGGCATTTGTTAACCGGATTAGCCTTCCCGGTTAGGACATGGCAGTCTCATTGTTGTGAGGTCATCTTTATTTCCCAGGTCACATGTGGTGCCATAATGAGGCTGGTCCAGAGAAGCCACATAATGCTGATCAGCCCTCAAGAGAAGGCAGGGGCAGAACATTCCCCGCCATCCAAGGGGGCATCCACAAATGCAGAGCTAATACATGGTGCTCTGGTACTGGGCTCACCCAAGGAATCGTTACCTCCTGCTCATGACTGTTTAACCTCACTTCCATATATTGAACATCTCATACATCATGGGCTATCTCTTTTGTAGCCAACAGTATGCAACCTGAAGACCTAGGATTTAATTTACCTACACCATAAAATGAGTACTTTGCTTCTTTTGCATGTTAGACTTTTACTGCAGTGGACCTCCTCATCCACTATAGTTTTACGTGGTTCACGAGCTCTGCATCTCTAGGGACTATCAGCTCAGAGAATCCCAGAGTTTTATTCTTCTTATACCTTCAGATGTCAATGTGGATATATTTAAAGAAATCAGCAGTTAACTTGAGGTTGTTGAAATCTCCACACAGTTTATGCTCAAAAGTTGCGGGTGTTAGCCAGAAGTTTGATATAATATGAGTGTAGTTGTTAAGGCAATCTGATAATCATATTGTGAGATCTGTGTTTGGGAATATCAAAGTAATCTGTTATACCCTCTATTCTGTCTTCAGATGTATTAACATCTTATGCCTACCAAAGAACTACCATCACCACTTTAGCTTTTTTTTGTCCCAAGAATGCTAAACAAAATGGGTCAGGAACCCGTAGGAATTTCTGGGGAAAATATTGTTTTAAAAACGAAAATCATCCATATTACACATCACTAAAACAGAAAAAAATTTATTTATATGAATTTGACATTTTTCATTGTCCAGAATATGTAAAGATACCTAATAGAGTAATCATTAAACACGAACAAAGTGAAGCATTAAATGAAATACATTCCCCAGGCCGTAAACAAATAAAATATTTTGGGTGACTCATTCCGTGACCTCTGTCACTGAGACTTATGGGAAAATTTGACATCACCTTTGCTTTACTGTATTTATAACCTGACCTATAAAACATTGCACAGGCGCATTACTGTATTTATAACCTGACCTATAAAACATTGCACAGGCGCATTACTGTATTTATAACCTGACCTATAAAACATTGCACAGGCGCATTACTGTATTTATAACCTGATCTATAAAACATTGCACAGGCGCATTACTGTATTTATAACCTGACCTATAAAACATTGCACAGGTGCACATTAGACCAGTAGAATTTAACCAAACTTTTTAAGGGCAGATCACTGCAGGCTTGGTCGAATATCAGCATTTACGGTGTTGTGGCACAGCCGGAAGTGACTAGATTTAGACTTCACTGGGTGAAAGGGTTCAATTGTATCATCTGTGTACAGCTATCTGGATCTTCTTCGTCTGCCTGTCCTCTCTCAACAGAGCCTTGGTCCTCTAACAAC